GTCATTTTTCGGACATTTCAATCAATCCTGCCGGCTAAAATAGAGTCTAAGTTTTACCGTAGTCATTGACGTCTGTCTATTCAAGAGTACACGTGTATGATTTTTATCGTGACTAGCGTGAGCGGGTAAGCTTCCTTTTGAGAATGAGCTGTTATCACTGTGAACAATGTTAAATTATTCTTCAGATGACCAGTTTATTTTTTAAAAACAACTAATTTTTTTATTTAAAAAAAATCATGCCGTTTTCGCATCAAAATCCAAGCCAAAATATTGTACTACAACATCAATCTCTTCCGCATTGCGTTCAATAACATTAACATATTTAAATAAGCTATGGTAATTTGAACACGTTGGCATCATCCAGCTTTTTGATTGGTTAATTAGCGATTTGACCTATTTGACCTAAGAGAACATGGCGTCAAACGTTTATACGAGACCGGAATCATTCGCTTACGATGAAACTAAGTTGACTTTTATTTGTATTTCATAACCATTCAACAAATTTATTTTGTGTACATTATTATAATCACTACTGAGTGCAGTAATAATCAACAATTCAGAAACGCAGCATGCCGAGATTTTTGTGTTCGTTTTTATTTGAAACTTCGTTTATTTAGAATATATTTTCGTTACCAATAAAATAAAAATCTCTCAGTCAATCAGAAACCCGGATTCATGCCTTCGAGGAAGGTCCCGTTTGAACGCTCACATCGTTTTTTTTTTCGTTTGGGGGAAAACTAAAACTGGTCGCAATTTTCGAATAAGAATGAGTCGGCAATTTTTAGTGGAGTCGAAAATTTGGAGGTAAATAAAACACCGAAACCCGGCAAATAAATAGGCGGTCGAATTTTTAGAGGGGTTGAAATTTTGGAGTTTTCACGGTACTAATTATTCTATTTCAATGAAACTTAGTACAAAGATGCTCTAGGACAATGTACAAACCTAATTATTTTGGGGTAAAAATCTGTTCATATTAATTCCCTAATAAGCATAATAATTCATAATTTTTTGGTTCTAATCACATTTCAATTAAACTTGGAGACATAGATTTTCTGTTACATTGCGCAGACCTCATTAGTTTTACACTCAAATCTGGTCATATTAATTTTCTGATTTGCATAATTAGTTTTCAGCTAAGTAATTTCGAATTATATTTAATGTGTCTCCAATACTCTCAGCACATGGGAGTTCTTTCTAAGCTTTCTTTGATTTTTAA